CTTATGACTATATACTCACCACTTGTCGAAACGCCAGAGAAACAAGGAGTTATCTACTGATGCCCATGCCCTACGAATCTCGGGAAAAATCCCACATAATGAATTTCCTTCCCCACCAGCTGCATTGTATCTTTCAATAAGTACAAGAGGCAACTCCCAAGTATCCACCACCTCAACCAAAGGTGGCCACTGCAATGGAATAAACATCATTGTAAAGCTTTAGAGAACAGAACTGAATTCGAGTCATACAATCTAAACAAAAATATGATACCACTGTAATATCAGATTGTTAAACAATAACATGAAATATGGCACTACTTATGAGCAGAAAACAAGTGTAAATAACACATCAAAAATGAATTTTATCATAATTAATTTATTAGAAAGTTGAGATCAAGTAATTTAGAAAGAACGATACCCATTGACTGTCAGAAGATTGCCAACTAAAATGGCACACATGATAAATACCATACGTGCTACGCAACTCTCACATTGCCTAAATAATACATTTGGTGATCCACCAGTGAGGTAGTGCCGAAAAACCAAGGAAATACAACAAATTCATGAAGTCCTATCATTTACCCAGTACATCGGTAAATGCTGATACTTCAGTTCAAGAACAATGATCCAGTTCAAGGTTATACTAACAATGAGTGGAATGCAATTATACTTGTGAATATGTACTTCTCATAGACCAAATGCAGCTATACGAATAACAAAGCCGGAAATCTTACAAGAGAAACAATGAGCCTAAAATTAACACATTGCAATCTGAGCCCTAAATATCAAACTTTTACAACAAAAATCAAAGCTTTTAATTCGCATAAATTACGGAAATTACCTCTCTGGGATGAGTAGAATAGGGGTGACTAACGTATCGGGAAGCTTCTAGGGCTTCTTCAAGATCGAGCTGCGACGCGACTTCACGGCCAATGCGGTCGCCGACGACGATACCCGCATGGGTGACATCGCGCATAACGACTTCGTCCTCCCAGGACATGGCGTTCAAAACCCTAGAACTTCGAACGGGCAAAATTGCAACCCTTCGGGGGTGTAAAACTGCAACTTTTAGTCGGTTTTCCCTCCCTTTCTCGGGAACCAAACAGGGAAAGTCTTGGATTGGAGAGCAAATTTTCACACGGCTACGACTGAGAGAGAGAAGGGGAGTGGGGGAGATTCGAAAATTAGGGTTTTGGGGAGGGTTTGTTTGTGGCGGGCAAATTAAAAGGTGCTTTGGGGATAACCCGGAGGGTCCGGTTCGCTGAACGGCTCGGTTCACCAGAGCGTCTAAATTTTGATTTTTTACTTTTTTTTTTTACCTCGTTCGTTTTTATTTTGTTATTATTTCGTTTTTCTTGCTCTAAGTAATTGCATATACCTTGGATTGTTAGTGGGGGTATTTATACTAGCTCAAAAGAGTCCTTGCTTGATTGGGAAATTGTAAACCAAATATTGAGAGGAATTTAATCTGGGCATGTTTCTCTTTGGATGTTTTGAGCTCCAACATTCCTCTTTTACGTAGATTTAGATGTAGAATTAAGGAAGTTTATTAAAATTGTCGAATAAAAAAAAACTTGTTAATTGTCACATCCCGTCCCGGGCTTCACCACATCTCGGGCTCAACTCCGTCGTAACACGATATTGTTTGTTTTGGGCTACAATCACACCCTCACGGTTTTGTTTATGAGAACTCACATGAGAACTTCCCAGTGGGTCACTCATCTTGGGATTGCTCTCGTCCGAACTCGCTTAACTTTGGAGTTCCGAAACCAGTAAGCACCCAAAAGACCTCATGCTATATGGAGGTGGGCATGTACATATAAGACATAGAGGATCATCTTCCGTGGATGATGTGGAATCTAACATTAATCATATTTGAATAGATTCTCACAACTTACAAAAATTACAAAAAACTATTATATTTCAAAAACAAAAGGTTTCAATTAAGTTAGACCTTAATAATATTTTGAAAGTCCGTAAACTCAAGTTAGACTATTATGTTTATAGAAATTCGCCTTCATCTTTTATTCCTTAACATTTGAAGGTGGCGAATTGTCTTGCATCTCAAGTTTAAACCTATCGTACTCTTGTATAAATTAGTGCAAAATAAGGCTTTGCACAAAAAATAACATATTTTTTCTTAAATAACAAAATAATTAAATAAAATTGCAATTTGAGATGTTTTTATTATCCTGTCACAAAATAACAAATAAACTCCATTTTACTTTCATGTTTTTTTTAATAAAATAAATTATTATTAACAATTCAAAAATCTCATTATGCACAATTCACAAGTATATTAATTTTTTTTGTTATAAAAAATTTAAATTAAAAAAAATGTTTAAAATGCCATTAACATTTTTTTTTTTTTTTTGAAAGCCTAAAAATTGGAAGACAAAATAAAGTCTCCAGTCAGTAGGCAAAACCGGTAGAAAGCCCTAGCTCGAACAGAGTCCCGCCAAAATGTGGTCTCCTCTCAATTCTTTAACATTTCTGCCCAGATTAAGGCGCGAGACGACGGCGTTTCGATACTCGCCGTCAATCCAGCAAGCTATGACACTCTCCAGTGCCTTCAACGCATTCAAGTCCTCCAAATCCATCTTCTGGAAATCTGTAAACTTTCTCTCTCTGAGTGCATTTTCTCAGCAACCAAACGGAAAAATCGCGGGAAAATGTGTCTGAGTGTGTTTTTTCTTATTTGATTTCAGACCGGTAGGCTTCAGCGGACCTTAGCGGGATGCATAGAGCGGAAAGGGAAGACCTTGCACAGCGGCAAGGTCTCCGCCGTGAAATTGTGGCCGGATCACGCCGGCAAAGGGAGATACTTTGTGTGCCGGTCAAATGCGATTCGAGCTTCGATTGAGTTTGCCGAGGAATCGCCTCTCTGCACCACTCTCTGTAAAGATGGGCTCAAAATTCGGACAGTTGAGCATTTGCTTTCGGCTTTGGAAGCTATGGAGGTTGATAATTGCCGGATAGAGATCAAGAACCCGGACCCCGAAGATATCGATGTTGAGGTTGGTACCATAAAGTTGTGAATTTTTTCGAATTGTATGAGGACTTGGGTAGTTATTTTGGGGAACTTGAACTGTTAATTGCCACTTCCAAGTAATTTGAGGCAATCATAATTTAGAACATGAAGAATTACTGATGGTTTAGCGCTTTTGGACTCGTTTGGAATTGCTTCTCTAGAAAAACATTTCCACTGTTAAAATTGTTGAAATTTTATTAAAATCCAAGTGCTTGACCGGAAATTCAAACTTAGTCGGAACTCAGAAGTGCTTTTGGTTGTCAAAGCACTCTTAGCCCTTTCAGAAGCATCCCAAATGCAAACGGGGACACTCCTCCTGTAGCACTCCTCGTGTTAATGCAGAAGGATTATAAAATATTCAGCTTAGAGTGTAGATGGTTAAAAACAAGCGTCAAAATCGCTATCCTTACTGATTATCGGCAATGACATAGGAGAATTGATGATGCCCAAAATCAAGTCATGCAGGTTCCTATTTTTGATGGGTCAGCAAGAGAATGGGCGGAGGCTATAAAACAAGTTGGTCTAAAAGAGGCAACAGATGAGCAAGGCAACTGTTGTGAAAAGATGGCGGCACATATGAACGAACCAGTTCATGTCTGGAGGAATAATTCTTTTGTAGCTGCTTTCCCATCACCAGAAATCCGTATCACTTACGGTATTGACTTTCCGCAGGTACACATTTTCCCGGATTGAAAATTGTCTGTACTAACAGCATGGAATTGGAATTTGAAGCAAATAGTTATTCTTATTAATCATCATCCATTGAAAGAGATTGGTTAGTTAATGAGAGGAATGGCTATCAAATATCTACACATTATTTTGCTTTTCTTCAACTTCTTTGTCCAAATGTGAGAATTTGTGGGCTGATTTTCGGGGTTACTTGTTTGACACTTCCTGTAGGTGGATGCTATTGGCTGCCAATGGTTTTCTGTTACCTCCTTAGATAACTCTTTCTATTCCAAGCAGATTGCTTTGTCAAGAACCTTTTGCATTTACGAGGAGGTCGGTACTGAATGGTTCTCCATCAGAAGTATTGCATTACTCTGTTTTTGGTTTTAGATTAGAAATGTATTGTTCAAATTATTACGTTAATGCTTGAATCCGTGTTCCAACAGGTGGAGCAAATGCGCAAGGCAGGACTCATAAAAGGTGGTGGGTTAGAAAACGCAATTGTTTGCAGGTAAGATGCTCGGATTTATGTCAATTTGAACTCGATAGGTGGTGACATGGGTGATCAAATATGGATTGACCTGAACTGACATGAGAGTTTTGGGTTGGATTTGATTTTATACAAGTTAAGCGACGAGTTCAGGCAGAAAATGGTATAAAGTTCGAAGAATCTCTCAGTTATTACTTGTTTTCCCCACTGAAACTTCATCCTGTTTTCCTCATGCAGTGCTAGTAAAGGTTGGTTGAACCCACCGCTGCGTTTTCCAGATGAACCTTGTCGACACAAGGTCTTAGATCTTATCGGCGACCTTTCCCTTTTCGCAAGGTTTGGAAGCCAAGGGCTTCCAGTGGCACATATAGTGGCATACAAGGTATTTGTTGTGCGGATTAACGTAAGTTTGGCTTGTTTTTATGTCTAAGCAGTTCTTAGGATAAAATGGTTATGGGATATTCAATCAATTCCATTGTTTGTTTCGTGGCATGTCAAGCAGGGTGGCCATGCACTGCATTCAGATTTGGTTCGCCGGCTGTCGGAAACTATATAAAAGGATCACGGATTATCTTTTGGTCCTCTAGAAGTCGTAACGTTGCACCAACCTGGAAATGTAGTTGCAGAAAAATAGAGAAGGAAGAATCGCATGAGTCGATTCAACTCGAAGTGCGCAGAATCAGAGCTTCTGTAATGCATCAAGGCTTAACATTGTAACATTATGTTCTTAACGAAGCAAATAAACTGTCTGTTAATCGATGACCCGCAAAAAAACTCACTATGCCAAAGTAACCGAATTACACAATGAACTCTTAGAAACCTCGTATCAATAACATGAATACATAAATACGCAAAACAATCGTTTTTCCTTGCTAGGAAAGGAAACCTACGTAACAGATTAACAAGATTTTGAAGCCTGTTATCTATATCTCCATTTTTGCACAGGCATGAAACAGCACAGGCAAAAACTGAAAGAATCAAAGGCGACTCCAAATGGCCAGAAAACAGACACAATGGGTTACAGTTTGGTATGCTGTAAGTCAATATCGATGTACCTATTTGAAAAGCTTTGCAGTCATCACATTTTCTGTACATACGGCACTTGCAGTTTCCTATCGATCCTTTAAACCGGTTCATTTCCCTTGAGAATGTTGTACTTGCAGAGAGGACATGTTGCATTCATTTTAAGCCATTTCACAATGCACGTAGCGTGGAAATGATGATTACAGGGAAGCGTATGAAGCTCTGCCCCATCCTCATACGGGCTGAGACATATACAACATTCCTGAAAAGAATAAAAGCGAACGACCATAAATCTTTAAAGCATAAAAATTCGTCAGAAATTAAAATGTTGCAAATGCAATAAGACGTATATGCAGACATGTATCTGACTGAATGAGCTCATTCGCCAAAAGGGGGAATGCAAGTATTATTCATTTTCTAGTAGGACAAATGGATTTTTTCATTAATATACTGAAACGTAATTGCAATGCATGATAACATGCCATAACATACCGCATCCTCAGGTAAAAGAACACGCTCAACTGCTAGGTACCCGCTGCTTGATTCTACCGGAATCATTTTTCCTGCTCCAACACTAGGTTTTTCCTCACTGTTCGCTCGAAACCAGTATTTTGGCAGAAAACTGAGATCTGCTTCTGATGCACCTTCCTACATTGTCACACCCCAAAAAAAAACCAAGAATAAGCAGTGACAACTCCATCATTTGTTGAGAAAACTTTGAATCATAGTTATAGGTTCTCTCTTCATACCTGTCCTGCAACGGTGTAAAGAATTGCAATGATGCATGGCAAACAGCAACAAAGAGCAACTCCAATCAAACATGCCAGGACAACACAAAAGATGGCAAAGAAGACATCAAATGCCAGAAAAACCACAGCCAACCTGCACAAATTCGGAATCAGATATTTTTCTTTTATTCTAGCGGTTACAAAATATGTATTGAGTTATCATGCACAGCTCAGGGTGTACTTGTGTTAAAGCTGCCGTCGTTATAGTACTCAAAAGCAAGGTTTTGAACGTGATCTGCCTTCCCCCAGCTTCTGTATTCATTGCTAACACTATAATGTCATAACTACCCTTATGGTGAAACTAACAAAATTCCTAAAGAACCATTTGTTGAAACAAATAAAATTACCAAGTCATAAAAAAGGAAAGAAAGAATATTTCCATAAACACAGCCAAACACACATGATGCCTATATTTTCAGATCAAGGAACAAGTCTTGATAGATTGATTATAGAAATACCAGTACAAAAGCGGAGCATTTTGCAGAAGAACTTCACCCCCAGAGACTACCCAATAGAAGCCAACTATCCACCAGAGAAACGACACCATTGTATTCATCGTTTCAAGTCGTTTAGAGACACTAGGCCAAATAAAATAGAGTCAGTCAGTAATTTATAAACCTTTCCAGCACAGTATTAAGACAGCACATGATGAAAACTCTAACTGCAAATATGGCTAAAGCCTGGAAATGCCATAGCAAGTTTTCATAACACCTTGGCCAAATTGAACAAGGATACATATTTTGCTTGCATCGTCACAAAATGTGAATAATGTAAAGATTAAAGCTTTGATGGTCGAGTGAAGTTGGGTTTTCACAACAAACACAGAGATAGCCATGGTAGCTGCTATATGTAAGGGGAAAAAGTGAATGGTAGCTGTGAAGATACAAGTAATGTTAGAATCATAACTATCATGTCCACACTGTTTCACACTACCATTCCTTAAAACTACCAAATTCTAAAACACGCGAACGATGTCAATATTCCAATTGAGCTATGCAGTAAAGATACTAAGTCGGGCGACGTAGAATGATACAAATAATTGGATTACGGGACTTCTTGCACTAATCTAGTTCGACTCCCGTTTCCAGTTTAAGGAGCTATTCAAATTTCTTCTTCTTTCTTTTGGGTCAAGTTTCAATCCCATTTCTTCAACCAAATGGAAATAAAGTACTCTAAATATCCACTAATTGTGAAAGAGCAACCGATTAATCAAAGAATACTAGTCAAACTGCTTTCTACTGTCCAAATTAAACTCCATGAATTCTTAAAAAAAAAGTTACTAAAATGGAAAACAAAATGTACCTGGAGCGAGTGGAAGTCGCCAATTCCCTAGCTGCTTCTTCATCGTCGGTATCGACAGCATCGATATCCACCTGGTGCTCCTCCTGCTGGGCCTCCTGGTTTCTCCTTCTAAGCCTCCAAGCAATATTATTCCTCCTCCGGTACTCCACCCACACCAGCACCACGTGTGCAAAACACTGGAGCGCATACCCGCAGATCCACAGCCTGATCGGCGTGTTCGGCCGCTCGTCCTCCGTCCATATCAGCATCACCACCGACACCACCACGAACGCCGTGTTCCACATCATGTCCAGAGCCACCACCGGCTTCGAGTACCCCCAGTCGGCTCGCCGCTCGTCCAGCTCCCGCGCCGCCGTCTCCCGCACCAGCATCGACGCCCCCCTGCGCCCGGTGGCCCGTCCCAGCAGCATCGCCAGCGTGCCGGGCCGCGCGGTCGGGGAGCCGAGGTCGGACGAGTCCCGGCCGTTGCTCCCCTGACGGGGGAGAAGAAGCGGCGCACGTGACTCGGGCACCGCCGCCGCCGCCGTAGTTGACGATTCCGATGACATGTTTTGTGATGGAAATTGAAATTCAATTGGCGATTACCATTGGGAGAAAAAGAAAGACATGACGATTAATTTATAAATTTGAAAAAGAATTTGTGGTGTGAAGAATGAATTGTGTATGCTGAAGAGTGAGTTCAAGAAGAAGGAGAGGGACAATTTGGGAATTTTCAGTGCGAGGTCTCGAAGTCTCAGGACTGGCTGCGTGCGCTGGTTGAATGGTAGATGAAGGTTTATGCTGGTTTTTTGGTAATTTTACGTACATAGACTCCTCCGTTTAGCATGTTTCTCCTTTTATTTCAATTTCGGTATATTTAATTCCTTTTTAAGATGATGTATTTAATTAGGAGTTTAAAATGCAAGTGGCCCGCTTCCATATATTAATGGAGATAGTGTTACTCTTGTATCAGCGTGGATTCGTATCTCGTTAACTCTCTAATCTAACATATAATCTAACAAAAAAGAAGAAGATGAGAACAACAGCTAAGCATTATTCAATTAAATGGTTGTATGAATCCTAAAATGTTATTGCGTTCCGTTTTGCATCAAGTTTTCCATTAGTTTCAAATACTCTATAGCTTTTTTTTATAGTTGTTTCTTTGCAAATCTTCCTAAACCTTCTTCTACCTCTTTTGCTCTGCACCTCCACTTCATAGTTGCATTTTCTAATCCGAGCATCTGTAGATATTCAATTCACGTACCCAAAATCACATTAATCAATTTTCTCTTATCTTATCTTCAATTGCAGCCGTTCCGTGAAAAAGAAAAAGAAAACGAACCTAAAATCTAGCTAGGAACATGACTTGATGCTCGCTCATAACCGATCATCTTAGTTTCAAGCTATATGTTGCCCTTTTCATCCGATGTGGGAGAGATGGATATAAACCAACGGTGGGCTATATGAATTAACACAACCAACAAAAGATCTGATCTTGATCTGGTTACAAGAATATTAACAAACACCTTAACCAACAACAACCACACTAGCTTATGCAATTACAAATATAAACTGCAAAACATACAACATCGTAACAAAACCCAATAAGCTACCTATACAAACACAACCATTGCCCGCTCACGATACGACGCCACAAAAGGTAGGTTAGCCCAAAAGTCAATAATCTTCTTCCCTTTCTCTTTTCTTCTGCTCATCTCTCTAACAAGCACGGGAATAACAATCTACGTCAGAGGCAGGCATACCGATATCTTCTTTCTTAGATGTTGCTCTCCTTTACCAGCTTTTGGCGAACACAGTTTCATCGGCATGCCAGCTACTATCTTATAATCAATCGCAGTAGGGAGGAAAGGACAGGATAAAATAAAATAAGTGTGGAAAACGGAAGGAGGAACAAGGCGCCTCCCTGTGGTTTAATGCCTTTCTGCAGCTCCAAATTAGGATTTTTGTCATTGGGTGCTGCGGGTTAACCCACTTCGCGCGAGACCCCTGCACAGCATGTGAAACATGTAAATCTCTACAAGTTTTGTGAGAACAATAATCACAACAGAGGTCACACCGTCAGTGGTCAGTATTGAGCATTTGTAACCAAAAAATAATGATTGTAGGAATGCACTCAATAAATGGTACAAGCGAACAATTAAATGGTCCGAGACATCACAGGTGGTAAGAGATTGAAACTAAGTACCTTCCAGAGAGAACCTGAGCACTGCTGACAGAACTTTTGGTATTACCAAACCGCTTGGCCCTATTCTCATGTTCTTTGTCCACGCGCATGGCAGCTACCTCCTTCTCCATGGAAGCAACTTCTCTTCTCATTTTCTTTGCTTCAACCTCCATTGCTTTAGTCAAGGTATCTACCTTCTTGGCTAACAACTGAAAGACGATAATCATAACCAAACACTTAACCGAGGGTAACATTACAGAATAATGAAACTGATAGAAAAGAGTACGGACCTCAATAGCATCGTCCTTGTCTTTCAGGCTTTGATCTTTCTCATGACCAGCTTTCCTCAACGATACAACCTCTTTCTGCAACAAATCATACAAAACCCCTGGGACACTATCCTCCGTATCCACTGTCGAGAACTCAGGCTTATCATCTGAATTTCCCTTCCAGTTAGTTTGTGCTTCACCATCCTTTGTTCCCTCACAAGATTGGTTGACGGAGAAACTGGGGCTTGTACCATTCAAGTGAACCTTACCCCTATCCAATGATCTTGTACCACCATCAAATGATTTTGATGTGCCTTTAGCATGCTTTAACACCGAACTGGTGCTGGAGGACAAAGACCTGATGGGAGTTCTCTTGGATGAAAAGCCATTGGAGCTTAATTTTGGAGCATTATCAGCTCCACCCAGGGACTGACGTCGAGAGGGCCCATTGCTTGTACTTCTTCCCTCTACTGTGCTGCGATTAATACTGTTACCTCTCACACTCTCCTCAAGCACTTTAAGTCGCATGTGATATTTTTCCTGTTAAAAAGAGAGATAACTTTTACTATACATAACACCCTAAATTTAACTGAAAACAGATTTGGCATTGGTTGCAGAACCAGATTATTACTTTCAACTGAGCTTCAGACTTGGCAGCTCGCTCGGTTATGGCAAGCTTGTCACGAAGTTGTTGCATTTCTCCCTGTAAGAACACAGTTTGTCGTTACTAAACAGTAGATGCCAAAAACTGAATTCAGAAAGCCAGTAAGAAGAGCTAACCCCAAAAGGAAGACAGAAAACACTACCTGCAAGAATCTCCGTTCTTCAAGCCATTGTTTTACAGGCATCACTTTGTCATTAGCATCTTTCCACTCATTTGCTACCACTACAGCTACTCTATTAGCTGTTACTTTTGCACGGGCCAACTCCCGGTCTAGAGTTTTCCTTTCCTCCTGAGAAAGAAAACCGAAACCTCTTCAATCTTAAGAATGCTTTCAACTACATGTTACAGGTAAACTATAAGCAACTGCCAAGATTGCGCATTTAAATATGGTTGGCATATTACATTCATCTCCTGAAACTTCCGCTGATAATCCCTCACAGCATTTGCCGCTGCACCACCAGCAAGAACAGCCTCTTCCAACTCCCGCACAGTCTGAGTAAGCTTTTCAACCTCAGCAACCTTTTGTCTATGCATCTTGTCTAAAATTTTATTTTCTTCCTAACACACGGAAGCAGTAGAAACACCAAATAAATCATACTAGTCAAACAAAGAGAGTGAGAAACTACAAATATACAATGCCAAACATTGCTCCCAGATGGGGAAAAAAAGTCTAATTCACTTAAAGAAGGGAATATCATGCATTATAATGCACATACCTGACAAATTTCTATCTGTTTCATCAACTCTTGGTTTTTATTCTGAAGATCATCCACCATGGAGGCCTTAGCCAAGGCAACCTGAACAGTCCTCTCAGCCTCAAGTAAAGCTGCTTCTTTTGATTTGGTAAGGCGATCCAAAGCTTTGTTATCATCTTGAAGCTTTGTAATCTGTAAGAATTAAATGTAACAAATTAATTACACCTACAAAGTACCACAATAATTCTTGTTCTCCTTGGATAAGGCAGAATGTACCTCTTGCCGGGCAAGCTTGAGCTCAGCCTCCAGAGGTGCAAGAATGGCTTCAATAGGAGGCATATCATCATCCTTTTGCGCAGCATGAACCCTCCGTAGAGTAGCTTCAGCTGCGAACTGAGCAGCCATGGAAGCTTTCTTCTCATCATTGATTTTCTTTATTTCAAGATTCTGCAAAACATTTTTTTGTGATGTAAAATTGTGACAAAAAGTACATATAACAGAAGCCAAAGTAAGTTAGAAATATTTTAAATAAAAGTTCATAAAAGATTCTGATTCAAATCATACTTTGCTTTCTAGAAGTGATTCTGTCAACTTCAGCTTTTCTTCCACCTTCGACAACTCATCAGTGAGCTGCAATGTAACGAAAACATAGACAAGAAGAAAATTCAGCGACCAATTTAACAACATATTTATAATTTGCAACATTCCATATAAGCTTACATGGGCGATTACCATACACGTATACATTGCTACAGATTCCATAAACTCGGTCTAATTAAAATATGTTAACCCCAGAACCAAAAAAGGAATGAGAACAAGTTAAATTCTGAATAGGCGACTAATATGCAAGGCATAGCATGAACATGTAGCCCAATGGCCCCAATCCTCCAGAAATGGGATCCTGATCAAATAACCATAGCCCATCAACTAATAAAAAATAAACTCCATATTAATTAACCAAAGTAATTAATCTAAGTCGTCTTCTCCGAAAATTCCCAATACATATACCACAAAATTGATGGGAAATATTGGCCTAAATTTAATGTTCTACAATTAAGGAAAAATTAAGACTAAAATGATTGGCAGTGAAGCCAATATTTAAACACAATAGTTGTACGCACGCACGGATTTTTGTTGTGTTGATGATCGAAAAATCAGAGTAATAGAAAATGACGAAAATAACCTCTTCACAAGCCTTTTCTCTGGCTCTATCAGAGAGCTTGAGAGCCTTGATCTGAGCCTGTGCCTCTCCTAACTCCCGGTCCTTATCTGCAAACCACACACAAAAACGACAGTCAAGAAGGGTGAAACGACACCGGGAAATCTCGCAAAACCGACTGCAAATCTCGAGAAAAGCAGCGGATCGAGCCGCATTCGCACCTCTAACTTCATTCTCGAGCCGATTGAGCTCGACCTTGACCGGATCCGAGCCGTGCAAGAGGTTTATGAGCTCGTCGCCGTCCATACTTGGCCTCCTGAATCCTCTCCTCCGCGATGAGCTCTTCCCCTCCTTGAACGATCCCGACACCGTCAGCGGCGGCGGTGTCGGCGCAGACCCGTGAACCGGTCCGTTACTGTACTCCGTCATCGGAGCATAACCTCCATCGCCAAAAGCTTCCTCCATATCCCGATCTGCGCAGCGCACGGTCCTTCACATCCAAATGCAGCTCGGGATCCGAAATGCCTAGGGTTTCAAATCACAAATAAATACACAGACGCGCAGATGTGCAGAGAGATAGGGAGAGAAAACGAGAGAGTGTTTGGAGTTCTGGAAAAATGGTGTGATTTTTTAGAGAGAAAAAGGCAGTGGGATTTGCTCTTTGGGTTTGATTTTCTCTCTCTAGACTATGATTTAAATCTGGCAGCGGCTAGAGAGAGATATTAGATTTAGTTTTTTGATTAATTAAATAAAGGATGCTGGAGAGGGAGTGGAAGCGCTTTGCTGTTAAGCATAACACTGCTACTGCATCACTCTCTCTC